CGGGCCAGCGCGGTTTGGGATTCGCTGCTGGTTCCGGCGGACACGGGCTTGGTGATTTCCGGGGAGCACACACCTGCCTGCCACCCTCTGCAGTGTTTTCCTGCAGTGTTTTCCAGGGGATTACGAGGACGCCTGAGAGACAGCCGTGTGTGTAGTTAATTCCGTTAAATCAATCCACCTCTTCAGAGGTGAAGGAAAGCCTTGCCTACTACGGATTTAAGGCTTTCATAAGTCAGGTCAGGCTCGCTGATTTACAGCCAGCCTTGCGGGTTGTAGGGGTGAGCCCGATCACTGATCAGCTTGTTTGGGGTGGCGGCGCCCTGAGCACCAGAGAGCCGTGCTTCACCCTGCCCTTCTGCCCTGTCACCGGGCAAGGTGACAAAGCCCTCCCGTGCCACTGCTTCATGCCAGCTCAGCGCCCGAGACAAGCTGTGGCAGTGCCTGGGCAAGGAAGGCTGAGGAAAAGGCAACAAAGCTGAACCTTTTTCTTACGGCTGGAGCAGTCACCTACCACCTCCGTGCCCAGGTGTGGCCCCACAGCGCGTGTTGGGAGCGGCTGTCCTGCGTTCAGGATGGCCACGGCAGCGGGCAGGCCCCGTGTGCCCTGCCACGGCCGGCAGTGACCTGCAGGAGCTGCCCTCAGGCTCACCCGCACTGCGCTGCAGCCCTGGCCTTTCATCCTCTGGGTCTCACCCCAGCTCCTTCTTCACAAAGCCACAGTTCCCACTGGAGGTAAAATCAGGGGCTGAAAAGAACTGAACTTTGGCTTGGTATGGGAAATCCTGAGTAAGTTGTTTGTTTTCTTGTGAAGACAAAACAAACCTTTGTTTTCATTAATCTGTATGCAACTTCAGTAGTCTTCTCTACTGAAGTGCAAGCTCAATATATACTTACTGATAGATACAGTTTTTCTTTCATTCTTGGACCTTTCCAGATCAAATCATTCTCAGAGCTCTTCTCTGAGGCCATTCCAAATTTTTCAGTATCTTTTTGGAGGCACTAATTTCAGAATTGGACACAGCATTCAGCAGTGATCTCACCATTGATGCACAGAAAACAAGAAATCACCAAATGAAGCCCTCCCCCCATCATCTCCTGAGTAATATCTCATTCTTAGTACAGTGGAGAGGGGCTGCCTTGTCTTAGGACAATTATACTGTCTGTCAATGTAGCAATTTCTAGTCAGAAAAAAAACCAAAAAAACAAAACAAACCAAGGTTGTCAGCATAATGCTAGACCTGTTTAGTTCCAGAAGAGGGCCCTTAACTTGTAAAACTTTACTTACAGTCTTAGCAAACAAAGTCTGTATAGTTTTTCAGACATAGATCTGCAAATACTGCCCTCTACCTAATTTCAGGTTTTTATCCCTGGCTTACAGTATTACATCTTGCAGGGATGCCCAATCTTCTTGAATAGCTTCTTAATTCTTTTCTCCTCTGAAGTGTTAGCAACTACCAGAGGCTGCCCTCAGTCTGATTCAGTCTATTTTTTTTTTTAATTTTTGCAAGTTAAACCACAGTGTAGATTTGAGATGAACACCTTGCAGAAAACCCTTTTTGACCATTTCTTTGACCAACCAAGACAGTGATGTTCTCAAGAAGTTACGTATTGTTTTGATGGCCAGGTTAAATTTTCATAGCTAATCTAAGACTACGGTGAACTTGTGGAGTGTATGAATCTTGTAACTTTTATCTTCCTTTTTTAGTGTGCAGTGCCTGGACCTGTGTGATGAAGCTTGGCAGGCAGTGTAACTCTTGTTGGGACTAACACAGGTCAGCCCTTCACTTTCAGACACAGGGTCAGTCATGAAAAGAATCTAGTTCAGTATAGGAGAGGAGAGTAGACATAGGAGAGAGACAGTAGAGGAGAGAAGCCATACCACTTAATACCTAGACTGTCTGCAAAGGTCAAGCTAGAAATATTTATACTTTGTTCTGAAAAAAATCCCCACTCATACCCAAGCTAGTGGGCAGTATCAGGGTATTCACGTGATGCATTGGAAAGTGACCCTGTGGGTTTGTGGGTCTCAGGCCACTGATAAGCAAGGCTTCACCTTAGGAAAACAGGCCCGTTTTTTGTAGGCCAAAGTCATAACTTACAAGAGTGAGTTTTCTACTTTGACAGGAAAACAGGCTAGGAGATCAGCCCCTTCTTCTTTTCAGTTTAGTGGCAGTAAATTTAGCAGGAAGCTTTTCCAGGATCACAGAATCATTTACTTTGGAAAAGACTTCCAAGATGATTTAGTCCAGCCTTTGATAGATCTCCAGCCTGAAAACTAGATCATGGCACTGAGTGCTACATCCAGTCATTTCTTGAACACCTCCAGGGATGGTGACTTCACTTTTGGGCACTCTGTTCCAATGCTTGACAGCTTTTTCCATGAAGAAATTTTTTACTGAGAATAATTCTTTCTGAGAAGAATTTATATTTCTACAACAGCCAGAACCCCAAATGTGCTGGAGGATTCAAGTGTTGCCTTGCTTATTAATAGGAATGATCAAACCTTAGTACTGTTAAAAAAACCCCCAACAACCCAAAAACAAACAAACAAAAACAGAAAGTAAGACAAACAAAAGAGGAAGGTAATAGTAATACTAAAAAAATCTATCCTAGCTGGCATGCATCTTCAGGAATTGGAATTTTTTATTTTTCCTCCGGGTAAGAAACACTATACTATGCTATTTTATCTTTGCCATTCTCTTAACGTCTTTGATAGATGTCATACTTTAAGAAAAATCATCAACAGTGTCAATTATTTATGAATGCTAGAGAAAACTCTATCAAAGAAGACATGGAAGGCAGACAGTAAGATGAAGAGCATAGAACTCTAATAATTATAGATGGGTTAGTTCTTAGAGATTTTTTTTAAATGACAAATATTTTTCTTGACAAGTTTAAAAGCATGTCACTTCACAAAGGAGAGGCTAAACCAGCAGATACCAAATTCCTGATAATAAACACAATCTAAAGCATCTTCATAAAAATCTTCATTTAGCAGCACTTGGATTCAACTTCCTGGTTACAGAAAAACCGCACACTGATAGAGCAGAGCCACTAGTAGAGCTGACTTACTTTATGGTACCTTAAAACTGATTTAACCAGTCCTTTCAGTCATTTGAGAATAAGACAGCTAATGAGGGTGCCATAAAGGGAATCTCCTTCTCATTTCTGTATTTTAGGTAATGCTTTTTACCTTGTGGAATGGGGTCATGGGCTGTGCTGCAGGCGGCAGATTCAGGGAAATCTTTTATTTCCCTGACCTCTTCCTCCTTCCACACCTCAAGGCCAACAGGGATTTCACCTCTCAGTACCATTCATTTAAGTATTTGCCTGGTTGATCTCTAGCCAACAGATTTATCTGGCTTGAAACAATGCTTTTCCTTACAAAGAGGGTTCTTCTTTTCAGTTGGGTCGTTTCTCAGAACTGATTTAGAGCCTCTATACCTCAACCTATTCAAAGTGGAACAGATGAAATCCAAACACAATGGCAGGGATCTCTAGCTGAAGCAGCAGCTAAAGGTGAGAGCAAGCAGCTCTGGGGAGGTGAGGGGGTGTTTGTGTGTGGGTGGTGTCAATAAAATATCGATTCAGCTGAGCTCTAACTGGAATAGTTCCTCAGACCGTACACATAGTGCTTATCTCCTAATTCATCATACTGCCTGGATATGACTTCTTTAATTGAAGTAATATATTTTCTGGGATGCTTTCCTTGTGTTGATACACAATGGAAGACTTTAGGAGAATAGAGAGAGTCAGCTGTTACATTTGTATTCACCTTTCTGATACAGGGCTGGAAAAATATGGAGGCATGTCTCAGGCAAACATCAAAACAGCTATTATACAAATTTGTGAGAACATCAAAGTGGAAGCTCTTGTGTGCCCTGATTGATTTCCATTGCAAATATGAAGCTAACTCATTTATTTTCCAGTTTGTGCTCATGATTATTTTAATTTAACATGTTTGTCCGGAGGCAGCCGTCATGTTGATGCCATGGTGCTGTGTCACACAAGCTGTGGCCTGAGACACCCCAGCTGGGCATCTCAGTATCGAGGAAATTTATTCATGCCTCATACAAAATGCATTGTACAGGAAAGCTTGCAGTGGTATTTTGCAAATAGCAAAATCTGTTACTCTGGAATGTTACAGATATTTTAAGAATCCCATATGGGCTTATCTAGTCTACTTTTTTTTCTTTTTTTTTTTTTTTTTTTTCCTGAAGATGGCCAGAATATACCTTAGCAGCAGATAGGAAAGTCTCAAGATGCACTTAACTGGCATCAAGAGCAGATTGTCTGTAAATCCACTTGTATTCTGTGAGAAAAGCGAAAGAGGAGCTGCTGGGTTAGTGGGACCACCACTGGTGCAAAAGCTGACAGCTAACTGAAATTTTGTTACAAGATCAGTTACAGGTCTGCTGCAGAGCAGCAATTTCACAGACTTTTGAAGAGGAGGTGTCATCTGTAATTGTGAAGAACCATGCAAATACACCCTGGAGCCACTTAGGAGAAAAAAAAACCTCAAAACCCAAAATCCCTTAGCTTTATCACCAGTGAATTAAGGTTCAGTTGTGGCTGTTGCAAGTACCTCACAGGTTGAGGGAAATTAGGACTGGAAGTGACCTTAAAATAGGTCACAGTTGGGAAATTTACTTAATGGTTATCCAGAACTTGCCTTGCTGTAAGTTCAGTAAACTTTTGTCCTGTTTGTCAGGGACAGTGACAGTGGGGCTGCTCCCAAGAGAGGATGAGCCAGGGCCAAGGGTAACTCCAGCACAGGCAATGCCCTCTCCAGCTGGGGTCAGCAGAGCCACGGGCTTGTGACAGCATCTGTCAGGAGCCCAGACACGGGAGAGGGCGTGAACCAGGGGCAGCAGGAATGAGAAAAGGTTGTAGGCAAGGTGGTGACATGAACCTGGGATCCACCTGGGAAGCCTTGTTAGAGAACAGGGGCAGGGGAGGGCTCGGGGAGAGGGGTGGTTCCAGGGAAGCTGGTCAGAACAATTAAGACCTGTTAGTGCTGACAGTGTCCTATCACAATTCACAGTGGACGTGGTGATGCTTTTCTCTGGAAGATGAGTCTGCTGGTTTTATCCTTCCCTCTGAAGGTGCACCCCTATACTCATTGAAAAGAAGAATAATTGTGGAAATGTACCTTAAAAAGGTGTATAAAATTAGCCACTCAGTTCTTGTATTTGAAGGTGCTGTGTCTCACTACAATCCTGTGGAAGGATTTTGTTTCTATGTGGTGTTTGTTGCACTGGGTGAGATTTTTGCCTCTTGGCAAGAATGAGAAATAAACTTTTTTCTCCTTTAACCACTTGACTCAAAATTCATATACATGAACAAGTTTGAAAAGAAGCCCATGAAAATTATGAGTAATTTGAAGTGCTATTTCTTTTATTAAAACAATTAAGTTTTTTTCCCAGAAGACATTACCAAACAATTTGAATCTTTAATATGAGAAAATCAGGAAAAGTTCAACAACATGCACTACAGTTGGCCACAGTTTCAGTCAAGATGGTTAAATCCCCAAATCTCTGTCCTCTCCTTCCATTTATGCATCCAACTATTGTAGCATGAGGATTGTCAGTGCTGTCTCTGAGCAGATCATCCTCCATTCCAGTGCCTGGAATGATTTTGTGGAAGATTAGGTTTATGTAATAGTTTTTTATTTGCTCAGCTCTATCAAATGCTCATGTGAAAAGCATACCCTGAACTCTGATAATTATCTTCCTTCATCTCCCTAAGCTACAAGTAGTTCAGCTTTTCTTTGAGGCATTATCTATGGAAGATTTCAGAGAAGATAAAAGGGCTCTCTAAAGGCTGAAAATGTGAAAATAACTGTACAGTTATGTTGAACTGAATAGCAAAATAAATAATATATGGCTTTTATATTTTTAAGTGTATTTCAGTTAAATAAAAAACCCCAGGACTTCCAGTTTGCAGTGGTATCTTGAAATTTCTGTTCCTCACTCTAAGTGTACACAAAGCTGTACCTATGCCCACTGTGGGACATTTCACACACATTCTGTGAGTAGTGCAAACACTGAGTTATTTAAGAACAAAGTATTTGTAGCTGTGTACAGAGGAAATGCACGTACTTGGGAAACAGATCCATTTACATTGCTAACGCTTCACATACTTGAGTATTTCCCACATTTTCTGCCGTATGTTTTATTAAACCAGGAACTTTTGAACCTTTGTCCCTGTAGGGAATTTAATTTAATCAAGGCTCATTCACAGGAGCGACAGATACTATATCTTGTCTCAAAGTGCAGTCTAATTCTGCCTTGATGCTGCTGCATAATGGATGCATACTTTACACTCACATTCCAGAGTGTATTTTTCAGCTAATATACTGTACCAGCACTGCAGAAAAATCATCTGAAAATTGAAATATGTGTCAGTCAAATGGTAGAGATTAATAAAAATTGCTGCCTGCATGAAAAACTGAAACTAGGTTTCTAGCAAGAAGATATTTTATTAGCAGAAATAAGAAGTTCTTTTCTGAATTCATTCTCACATGATAAATTAACTTCTCTTACAGTGGAGACATTAAATCATTTGAAGTTACCTTGCCACAGTTCTCAACATCTGTGCCCTTGCTGAGCTTCCTTCAGTGCCCAGCAGCAGGAGCACTGAGCTAGCTGGAAATGGAAACGAGTTGTTTATATAAAAATTATGAGCCAACTCTGAACTGATTAAATTCTCCCTGTACATGGCCTGCATAAAGGATTGTCTGAGATTATCTCTTTTGTAAACCACTCACCTCCTCTAGTTTGTATCAAATAAGCTTTAAGACTGACAACATTTTGCAGTGACACTTTTCCAGCCCAGATTCCTTAACTTTATTCCTTTTTTATTGCAAAGCATTTATATTTTGCCCAAAGCACTCATAATGTAGAAGTTTTCTGCATCCCTGTAACTAAGAGTAAAACAAAGAGGACAGAAAATAATTGAATCAATTTTGCTTTCTACAGAAGTTTGGTTTTCATCAGATGGTGGGAACAGGAAGGGGGAAGAATGGGGATGGATTGATGGGATAGGACAGGACACATTTCTTTGGTTGTTACCAGAGACTGAACTTTGGGGTTGTTTCTTTTGTCAGCAAGTGATCTTAAAACATTGTGATTCTGGTTTCTTTGTAATATATTTGAGGAACTGAGCGATTGATGGTGTGTCTTCAGAAAACCATTCATAAGACACTCATTTTCTTTACATATTGCAAGCAGTTGATATACATTATGAGCTAATAAACTGTCAGAATTGCCTGATACATGATTCTTTTTTCCCATTGCATGTACTTCAGCTTGGCCAAACTGCATTATTTGTTAATAATATTACTGTACTATATCAGGACCTTGTTGTGTATGAAGACTGGAATGAAATTCAATGGAAAAAAAAAAACCAAAAGCGAAAAAAACCCATTTATTTTCCCAGTCTTAGTATTAAAAAAAAGGATAAATGTTTATGAACTGTCAACTAGCAAGAGGAAAGAGTGATCTTGAAGCCGGTCAGCATAATTACCAGCCAATGATGATTCAGCCCTAACAGACTGTCAATGCACAGAGCTCATCCTTCTACCTGTTAAAAACAAGAGGAAATTTTCCTGTAACCATAACCTTTATAGGTCCTCTCAGCAGGGGCTTCAAATCAAAAGTGTAAGAGCTGGCTTGGGAGAATCTTCCATATTGTTCTTGGTTCTACCTATAATAGTAGAGAATAATCCATCTCTGCTTTAGAAGCACATGAAATACAGATGGGGCACCCCAGAAAGCAGAAAATATATTTTCTCTCAGCGGAAAATACAGAAACACATGTTCAAACCATTCAATATTTTCTGCACTTCACTTGAGCAACTGACCAAGAACTGTCTTACAAAGAAAGACCAATACACGACTGACCAAAAATGGCTTGTGCACAAATATAATTACAGGCCAATCAAGGAAAGGCAACGTTCAGTGTGGTCAAAGGGGCAATCCAAATTAAAAGGTGATACATGTTACTTAGGGCTTTTGCATTACTAATAAACTAACTTGTACCACTGTACAATTTTTGCAAATGGAGTGATACAAAGCACCACATAGTTTCAAGAAATACATTAGTACATGTCAAGTTTTGTGTGCTTTATGTATTTTTTTTTGAGTTTATGGGTTTACTAAGATTAAAAAAAGATTTTTCACTCTTGCATACTAGATCAGATACCTAAAGAATCTTCAAGAGTTAAAGTGAAGAAGGTCGTGGCAGCAGCCTGTCCTGTTTTTGAGGAGAAAGTGGGTGCAATGGAAATGATGAGAGGCACACAGATGTCCCCACTAGTCAGTTGTCCTGGTTTAAAACATAGATGTATGCCAAGGAAGGTGTGAACCTTCCTGGATGGAAAGATAACCCCCTCCCTCCAAATTGTTATAACTTGGAAATGACAGGGCTTCCAGACAAAGATATGGAAAAGAAATAACAGTTCTTTACTAGAATATGTATATAAAACAAAACAAACAGCAACAGCAAAAAAGGGCTTTATTGGAATGTCACACTGCCATACAGAGGAGAGGTTTAAATTTTGTCATTACTCAAGTTTACATGTTCTGCTTAAGACTCTGTGCTGTCAAGTCCCTAAAAAGCATCTTTCTTTAAGAGTTGAATTACTGGATTAAACGTGATGACTGAAAACACATAAGAACTAATTCAGCAGCAGCAGCATTTTGATGGAAAACTGAGGTCCATAAAGGATATAAAATAGTGTTTTTAAATTTTATTTCAGTCACGTATCAAAATGTCCAACTCTGTGAAGCAGATTCCATATTCTAAACTAGTAAGGCTCAGAAGCAGAGGAAGACTCCATCAGCAACTGGTCCCACACATGCTATATGCCACAAAGAAAAAAATCTCTTTCTGAAATACTGTATAAAAAATTATTAAACAACTCTTCAGTCTAACTACAATAACTTCCAAAAAGAACCTGTGGCTCAGAGCTGAGCAATACTTTGTGTTGTGCATTTACTCATTAGGAAATGCAGCTCTTACATTTCTAGCCAGGCTAATTTTGATAGCTACAATGCTAAAATGTCTTAACTAACTGTATCTTATAGAGATTTTTTGTTTGTTGAGTTTGAAAATGAAGCAATACATATGAGCCACCATTCTGAACATATCTATGGTATATATAAAATAAATAAATATCTAAATAAAAATGAATAAATAAATATCTAAAATAAAATAAAATATCTATATGAAAATATCTATGCATATCTATACATATGTATTATTAATCTGTTTGATACCAGTAGAGCCTTTGCACACTGCTTGTAGAATCAAGGCCTTAACTCACATTAGTGACTTCAGGTACTCTTAAGTGGATTCGAAGTCAGTTGAATCTACAGATGAAAATATCTAATATGGCCTTCTCCACACTTGTGTTTTCTCTTTATTTAAAAAAGGTGTTCCAGTTAAAAAAGCATATTAAGTAATAGTAGTAACCAAATTCATTCTGAAAATATTGCAGCACTGCATATTGCACGGATGCAAATTGTCACCTTGTGCTCATGGAACTCACTGAGATTCACAATTATCAGAAGCAGCTTTTTACCTGCCTGAAAGATCCTTGTTAGAAACCTTCCAACAGAAACACCAGCAGGACGGTGCTGCAGTCCATTTATAAAACCTGCTTTGCAAGGTATGTTAGCCAAACAGTGGGAACCCATTGTGCTGCAGTTAACTGCTTTTCTGGGGCACTTTTCCTGGGCAACAGGAGTTTCCTTGCCTCTGAGGGGAGTCACTTGCAGCCCAGTGATGGAAGCTTTCTCTCTCGTGATCGGCTGTCAGGTGAAGTCTCCCCAGAGACAGGACTTCCCTCCATTTTCTAAATGGGCTGTTCACTTAGACACTGTTATGTCAGTGTCCTCCTCCCCCTCACCTGTCCTAGCTGTCCCCTGCACGTGGCACGTGTTAAGGCTCCCTGCGTGCATGCAGTAATAGTAATTTTTCACCCTATGTCAGAAAGTGGTTTTATAACATAAAACCCAGACAACCTTGAGGCATAAATAAAGATTAAATTGGTTCCTCACACATACCTATTCACAGTGTCATCATCTTCCTTCTCCTCTAGTGGGATAGTCCTTGTTAGATCTTTTCCCTCATCTCAGAGAAGAGGAGTGTCAGGGATGCTGTTCTGGCTCCAGGCAGCTTTCCACACTGCAGCTCCAGTGGGGTGGGGAACAACTTCCCCAGGCATGCACATGGGCTGGGATGGTTTCTCAGCACTGGTAGATGGCAAAATCTCAGTCAATGGAGCAGCTGGGACTCTCTTCCTCTGCAGCCAGCAACAGGCAGAGCTCCATGGCAGTGGTGAAAACCTCTGCACAGGAGAGGTCCAAGGTGAAGAAGCACCACATGACCATCTCTGCTCCCAACTAGGCAAAAACTGCTCACCACCCTGTCAAGAAACACTTTCCTCCCTCCCCCAGAGCCATCCCAACACTAAGGCGCTCAGCCCCATCTGCTCTCTAGATCACCATCCATTCACCATCTCCCTGACAACAAATGGGAAGAAAATTCCCTTAGAAAAGTAAAAAAAAAACCCTAGCCCCCAACACCAGTCCACCACTACAACCCTCCTTCATACTGAAAATTGATTTTTCCCCTTTCTATGTCTCAGTCTAGGAGTGCTTGTAGAAAAGTGGTCATTCCAGGAGGTGGTGGTGAGAGTAAGCCAGTGGGTTAAAACAGAGTGCAAGGGAATGGTTTCTGGTGCTTCTGGGGCACCAGCAGTCAAAACTGGGGCAGTGGTTATATTTCACTGGAGAAAACTGTATTAAGAAATTGAGAAAAATACCTGAAATCAACTTTTCTGTCTTTCAATGACTCTGTCTGCTCTGCTTATATTACTTTCTCTAATAATGCTGCATTCACAGCTTGCTCACTCTTGTGGAAACCTCTGGCACCATGTAACAAGCAGTCCCAAAGCACCACATGTGGACTTCACTTTATGCTGTAATCTAATTTACCTTTTTTTTAGTGATCAAGTCTTCAGAGGATCCGTGGGAAAAGCCCTCAAAGTCTCCTAGAAGCACAGCACAATTAGGCTTCAAAAAACTCAAAGTACATTTTCTACAATTTTATTCAAAGCATTTTTGATCCCTTTTTTTCTTCTTTGCCCCCAAGGTTAAGTTTGCCTTCCATTCCTAATGAAGTATTAAGCTGGGTGTAAGCTTAGCATGTTAAGGTAATGATGGGGCAATGAAGAATTGCTGTTATTCCTGCTTTGA